GTGTTTGGCTGCTGCTTCACCTCATCTCGCGTCTGTACTGCTTGCCCTTGAGGGAGACCCGGATGCACTAGACATCCCGACTCTGCGTTCTTACGCGGAGGCCGTAGAGGGTCCCTACTCTTCTCAGTGGCAGGCAGCTATGGATGCAGAGATGGCTTCCTGGAAGTCCACAGGCACCTACGTTGACGCGGTTCCCCCTCCTGGGGCGAACATCGTCAGTGGCATGTGGATCTTCAGGGTGAAGCGGCCACCGGGCTCTCCACCTCTCATCAAGGCGCGGTACGTCGCTCATGGCTTCAGTCAGCAGCAGGGAGTTGACTACTTTCAGACCTTCTCTCCCACCCCGAAGATGACCACTCTTCGGTTGCTGCTACACATAGCCGCTCAGCGCGACTACGAGCTTCACTCTCTTGACTTCAACGCTGCGTTGTTGCAGGGTAGCCTGCACAAGGAGATCTGGCTGCGCCGTTCACCTGGCTTCACTGGGACTTTCCCTCCTGGCACCCAGTGGAGCCTCCGACGGCCAGTCTACGGTCTCCGCCAGGCACCGCGTGAGTGGCACGACACACTGAGGACTACACTTGTGGCTCTTGGGTTTGCTCCCTCTACTGCTGACCCGTCGTTGTTTCTGTGCATCGACACTTCTCTGCCGCCATTCTACATCCTCGTGTACGTCGACGACTTGGTCTTTGCCACTGCTGACACTGCTGGACTCGCCTACGTGAAGTCCGAGCTGCAGAAGAGACAGACGTGCACAGACCTGGGTGAACTGCGCAGCTACCTTGGCTTGCAGATTACTCGGGACAGAGCACGCCGCACCATTACCTTGACTCAGTCACACATGGTGCAGCAAGTCCTTCAGCGCTTTAGCTTTACGTACTCCTCGCCTCAGGCCACTCCTCTATCTACTCGCCACTCGCTCTCAGCTCTGCCTTCGGATGAGTCCGTAGAGTCGAGTGGCCCGTACCCAGAGCTTGTTGGCTGCCTCATGTACCTGATGACCTGCACACGACCTGACCTTGCATACCCTCTTAGCATTCTTGCACGCTATGTTGCTCCTGGGAGACACCGACCAGAGCACATGGCTGCAGCGAAGAGGGTGTTGCGCTACTTGTGCAGTCCGTCGAGCATGGGGCTAGTGCTTGGAGGGCGTAGTCCAGTGGTCCTCACTGGGCACGTGGACGCTTCTTGGGCTGACGACCAGGCTACGCAGCGGTCGTCACAGGGTTACACCATCAGTCTTGGTTCCGGCTCTGTTTCGTGGCGGGCTACTCGCTCGTCTTCTGTTCTCGGCTCCAGTTGTGAGGCTGAGATCTACGGCGGGGCCATGGCTGCTCAGGAGCTTCGCTGGCTCACCTACCTGCTGACTGACCTTGGAGAGCCGCCTCGTTCTCCTCCAGTGCTGTACGTAGACAACAAGGCCATGCTGGCCTTGTGTCGAGAGCAGCGCTTGGAGCACAGAACGAAGCACATTGCTCTCCGCTACTTCCTTGCTCGTGAGTTGCAGCAGCGTGGTCAGTTGCGACTTGCGTACGTGGCCTCTGAGGCCAACACTGCTGATGTTTTCACCAAGGCACTTCCGCCTTGTGATCATCAGCGCTTCTGCACTCAGCTGGGACTTGTACCTGTCTTACCTCACTTTCTCACCTCTTGACCTTGCTTGTACTCTTGCATATATATATACCTGCTCTTGCTTGTTTAGTGTTATATATATATGTGTGCTCTTGCATGTGAACTGGCCTTGTGGCCTTGACCTTGTGCTCGGACTGTGTGGTGACTTTGTGATCCACCCTGAGCTTTGCTTTGCTTTGCTTGACTGGTCTTGTGACCCCTTGTTCTCCCCCACTTTGCCTATGGGGGTGTGTCAGAACATTATAGCTTATGCTTTTGTGTAGGCTATAGTGGGGTATCCCATAGGGGGTACAACCAAATGAGGGTTGGTACTTGTACTCACTCCTTCATAGTTCATTCATTCGCGTTCACTGTTTCACACATCCGTGAAGGCAGGTGGGGTCCACACCAAAATTTCTGGTTTTTGAAAATCGTTCGCAGAAACTTCTCGAGCAGGGTCAGACCAAACTGCTTTCGGCGTTACGTGCAATTTCTTCGTAGGAGGAAGCCATAGAATATGGACGAGGAGGTCTTCAGGAAGGTTATTAATGTGCGCCCAGCTCTCCATTCTGACTTTCTTAACTTTAGAATGACGATGCTACGAGACCGAACGAGACTAGTGAAAGGTGCTGAAATGGAAACCGAGCTGCAAGAAATGAAGAACGTACCGTAAGCCCCCGGATAAGCGCAGGCCTCGGATAAGCGCCGGTGCTTATAAAAGGATGAGGGCGCTTATATCTGGTCCTCGATTATAAGCGCACCCATGAGGGCTTATGGATTATAAGCGCCACCCTCTGTAATATTTTTTTATATTTTTACTGAAAACGCTGAAACGAAACACAATATTGCATTCCCACATTCAGAATTTCGAAACCCTTGCCCCTCGCGCGACTTAATGCCTTCGCGTCCAGCGTGAATGAGCTGTCATGGGGTCAATCTGACTCAATCTGACTGTGTGTGTTGGCAGGGAGTCAATCTGACTCCTTCTGACTGTGTGTGTTGGCAGGGAATTGTGAAATAAGTGAACAGGAATGAAATGACTAAGTCAGAGTTGGGTACAAATACAACCCTAGAAAGCTGTACCCCATATGTGCTACCCCACTATAGCCTACAAACATGCATCAGCTATAATAATCTAACACACCCCCATAGGCAAAGTGGGGGAGAACAAGGGGTCACAAGACCAGTCACGCAAAGCAAAGCAAAGCAAGCTCAGGGTGAATCACAAAGTCACCACACAGTCCGAGCACAAGAGCAGGGCCAGAGGCCAGTTCACATGCAGGAGTACAGGCATATATATAAAACTAGACAAGCAGGAGCAGGTATATATATGTATGTCACAGTACAAGTAAAGTCAAGGGGAGAGCAAGTGAGGCAAGACAGGCACAAGACCCAGCTGGGTGCAAAAGCGCTGATGGTCACAAGGCGCGAGTGCCTTAGTGAACACATCAGCAGTGTTGGCCTCAGAGGCCACGTACGCAAGTCGCAACTGACCACGCTGCTGCAGCTCACGAGCAAGGAAGTAGCGGAGAGCAATGTGCTTCGTTCGGTGCTCCAAGCGGTGCTCTCGACACAAGGCCAGCATGGCCTTGTTGTCTACGTACAGCACTGGAGGAGAACGAGGCTGCTCTCCAAGGTCAGTCAGCAGGTAGGTGAGCCAGCGAAGCTCCTGTGCAGCCATGGCCCCGGCGTAGATCTCAGCCTCACAACTGGAGCCGAGAACCGAAGACGACCGAGTAGACCGCCACGAGACAGAGCCGGAACCAAGACTGAAGGTGTAACCCTGTGACGACCGCTGCGTAGCCTGGTCGTCAGCCCAAGAAGCGTCCGCGTGGCCTGTAAGGACCACTGGACTCCGCCCTCCAAGCACTAGCCCCATGCCCGACGTACTGCACAGGTAGCGCAATACCCTCTTCGCTGCAGCCATGTGCTCTGGTCGGTGTCTCCCAGGGGCAACATAGCGTGCAAGAATGCTCAGAGGGTATGCAAGGTCAGGTCGAGTGCAGGTCATCAGGTACATGAGGCAGCCAACAAGCTCTGGGTACGGGCCACTCGGCTCTACGGACTCATCCGAAGGCAGAGCTGAGAGCGAGTGGCGAGTAGGCAGAGGAGTGGCCTGAGGCGAGGAGTACGTGAAGCCGAAGCGCTGAAGGACCTGCTGCACCATGTGTGACTGAGTCAAGGTAATGGTGCGGCGTGCTCTGTCCCGAGTGATCTGCAAGCCAAGGTAGCTGCGCAGTTCACCCAGGTCTGTGCACGTGTGTCTCTTCAGCAGCTCGGACTTCACGTAGGCGAGTCCAGCAGTGTCCGCTGTGGCAAAGACCAGGTCGTCGACGTACACGAGGATCTAGAACGGCGGCAGTGAAGTGTCGGTGCGCAGAAACAGCGACGGGTCAGCAGTAGACGGAGCAAACCCAAGAGCCGCAAGCGTAGTCCTCAGTGTGTCGTGCCACTCACGCGGTGCCTGGCGGAGACCGTAGACTGGCCGTCGGAGGCTCCACTGGGTGCCAGGAGGGAAAGTCCCAGTGAAGCCAGGTGGACGGCGCAGCCAGATCTCCTCGTGCAGGCTACCCTGCAGGAACGCAGTGCTGAAGTCGAGAGAGTGAAGCTCGTAGTCGCGCTGAGCGGCTATGTGCAGCAGCACCCGAAGAGTGGTCATCTTCGGGGTGGGAGAGAAGGTCTGAAAGTAGTCAACTCCCTGCCTCTGACTGAAGCCACGAGCAACGTACCGCGCCTTGAAGACAGGTGGAGAGCCCGGCGGCCGCTTCACCCGGAAGATCCACATGCCACTGACGATGTTCGCCCCAGGAGGGGGAACTGCGTCAACGTAGGTGCCTGTGGACTTCCAGGAAGCCATCTCTGCATCCATAGCTGCCTGCCACTGAGAGGAGTAGGGACCCTCTACAGCCTCCGCGTAAGAGCGCGGAGTCGGGATGTCTAGTGCATCCGGGTCTCCCTCAGGAGCAAGCAGTACAGACGCGAGATGAGGTGAAGCAGCAGCCAGACACTGTAACTCCTCCTGCCTGTCCTCTAGGACGTCCGTGCCAAGAGCACACTCACCCCCGACGGACGGAGGACAGACAGACGCAGACTCAGCAACAAGACTAGCAGCGTAGTCTAGACGACAGCGAGCAGCAAAGTCGACGAGCTCAGCGACAAGAGCAGACGCAGCAGTGGACTCAAAAGAGGGGTCAGTGACGACAGTAGCAAGCAGACGCGTGACAGTAGGACTGGCAGCACGAAGAGAGTCCGACTCAGGGTCGGCAAGCACAGGAAGAGAGGACTCAGGAGGAGAAGGCAAAGGGGCACGCAGAGGAGCAGTGGACGGACGCAGAGACATCCGGTGCGTGCCAGGGACAGGAGGAGGACGCTGACGCGAACCGCGACCACTAGCGCGAGCAGCACGAACAGGCGACGCGGGACGAGACGCAGGCTCACGACGCTCAGCGAGACCTCCAGTAGGACCAGTGTAAGGAGAGGGAGCTGGCAGTGGGGAGGCCGGCTCTAACAGTGACGGCGACTGGACAGACTGCAGAGGCCGAGGCCGAGGCCGCGCGGCAGCTCCAGACTCAGCAGGGACAGCACCAGCGCCCTCAGCAGCAGCACCAGCGCCACCAACACCTCCAGCGGCAGGACCTCCAGCAGCACCAGCAGCAGAACCACCGCCAGGACAGACAGCGGTAGTCTCAGCACCAACACCCTCAGCAGCTCCAGCTCTAGTAGGACCCGCAGGCCCAACAGCTCCGGGACCGGCAGCACCAGCACCCTCGACGGTCGAAGAAGCTCCAGCTCCAGCAGCACGCCTCCAGCGGCGAGCAAACCACTCGCGCAGCTCCTGTGGAGAGAGGGGCTCCTGTCGAGGCGCAGCAGCAGGAGAAACCCCAGGCTCAGCAGCACCAGACCCAGCACCCCCAGGCTCAGCAGCCCCAGACTCAGCACCCCCAGGCTCAGCAGCACCCAACTCAGCACCCCCAGGCTCAGCAGCTCCAGGCACAGCACCCCCCGGCTCAGCACCCCCAGGCTCAGCACCCTCCGCAGTAGCACCCCCAGGCCCAGCACCCCCTGGCTCAGCACCCCCAGTAGCAGCACCTCCAGGCCCGGCACCCCCGCGCACAGCACCCCCAGAGGCAGCACCCCCAGGCTCAGCACCCGCAGCAGCACCAGAGTCACCAGTAACCTCGACCGGGTCAACTGCGTCTACCTGGGACACACCTGAGGGGGCTCCTGACCTGAGGGGGGAGGGGGTCTACCGGGGGGGGAACCGGCACAAGGAAGTCCGGGGGAGGGGGGATGGAAGGAGTGCGGTAGGGGAAGAGGCGGTAGAAGGGGACTGACTCGTCGAACGTGACGTCCTGGGAGGACAGAACACGACGAGAGGAGGGGTGGTAAAACTGCCACCGCGGAGCGTCAGTGGGGAAGCCAAGGAAGACACAGGGAGCAGCACGAGGGGACAGCTTGTCCGCAGACAAGTCGCGGACAAACGCCCAAGATCCCCAGACACGGAACGCCGACGCATCGCCAACCTTCCCCGTCCACAGCAAGACTGGGGACATCGCGGGCCGAGAGACCCTGGGGTGAAGGTTGAGCTGATGCGCCGCGTACCTCACCGCAAACGGCCACAGAAAATGGGGGGCAGCCGCATGCATCATGGACGTACGAGCGACATCCATGACCATGCCAATGCGGCGCTCAGCAATCCCATTTTGCTGTGGAGAGTCCGGAAGCGTGAAGGTCTGGCGGATCCCCCGTGCACGACAGTAGTCTCGCAGAAGGCGAGAGGAGAACTCTCCGCCTCTGTCCGAGTGCAGACGCAGAACAGGAAAGTCCGAGCCAAAGCTCTTCCTGAGCTGGAGACGAGCCTCGCTGATCTAGTCGATCAGCACCTCAGTGACAGCATCCTTGCTGCGCAAGGGGAGGACTGTGGTGTAACGCGAGTAGTCGTCAACCAACAACAGGAAGTAGCGCTCGTGACCCTGCCCACGGACGGGGGCTGGGCCCCACACGTCCATGTGAAGCGTCTGCAGAGGAGCCTCTGTCAGGGGGAACTGGGAGGAGTGAGGAGTAGCCCGGAGGCGACCCTCGACACAGGGGACACAGGAAGGTCCTGGCCCGGAGGGAAGGGGAGGGAGAGACCGGGGAAGACCAGAGACAAGGACACGGGAAGCCATGCTCCGAAGACGGGGCAAGGACGGGTGGCCAAGACGGTGGTGCCACAGGAGAGTCTTGTGAGACAGGAGGCGACAAGAACAGGGGGCAGACTCAGGACCTGACCGGGACGCAGCAGCAAACACCTGACCTGACGCAGCTACCTGACCAGACGCAGGGACAGGAGGAGACGCAGTGGTCAGGGTGTAGAGGCTCAACCCCGGCCGACGTGAGAACGTGGCCAGGTGCCGGCCTGTGCGTGCGTCCGTGCAGTGGGTCACCCGCTGACTCGCAGGAGTGAACTGGTGAACCCCCGCATCCTGCAGGTCCGCACCACTCACCAAGTTCGTAGAGAACGAGGGAAGGTACAGTCCAGACAGGGTGCCCGAAGGGGCAGCCGGACACGGGAGGACAGTGGAGAAGTGAGAGAGGACAGGACCCCCAGAGGGGTCAGCCAGGGAGACGGCAACCGGGCGGCCAAGCGGCGTGAGGGTGGTGCGGTCTCGAAAGAAGGAGCGAGAAGCCCCGGAGTCAAGTGTGAAAGTGAGGGAGGACGAGGGCGACGCAGTACCTGAGAGCGCAGTCTCACCAGTACCTGAGAGCGCAGACGCACTGGCACCTAGAGCAGCAGCCTCACAAGCACCTAGCGCAGCAGTACCAATGCCCGGGTCGGGCTGGAAACACCAGTAACCCTCATTCTCCTCACTAAAAGTCACAGCATACATAGCAGCAAGGATAGCATCAAAATCAAGATCAAAGATCGCTACACCAGCCCTAAGAAGCTCATCCCAGCGAGGGATCTCACTAGCCCCGGGGAACTGCTGACGCCAAGCGTCCGTCAGGCGGCCAAAGCAGCGCTGGGTGGGGTGGGCACCCCCACACTGCTCACCCGCGCGGTCGCCGGAACGAAGGACGTAGGTGCAAGGACCAGTACCCCACCCCTCTCATGCTGAGCGTACCACTCACGAAGCTGCTGAGGCGGAGGGATGTCCCGCGAACGCTGCTGCTGCTGCTGCTGCTGCGAGCGCTGGCCACCACCACCGCCGCTCCGCTGCTGGGTACCACCCCGACCAGCTCCACCCCCTCCACCTCCACCGCCTCCTCCACTGCCTCCTCCGCCGCCTCCACCTCCGCTACTGCCACCACCACCACCGCCGCCACCACCACTGCCGCCTCCGCCGCTGCTGCCACCACCACCACCACCCCCACCACTACTCCCGCCGCCACCCCCACTCCCTCCGCCGCCTCCGCCGCCACCGCCACCGCCCCCTCCAGCTCCACCCGCGCCCTTGCCCCCCTTGCCCTTGCCAGAGCGACGTCTCCCACTAGGGGCAGACGCCGCGCCGACCGACTCAAGACCAAGCAGGTCGGCAGCAGCAGCAGAGGCAACAGAGGGCAGCAAGGGGGAAGGAGAGCACCCCTCAAAGATGGGGGTGCGAGGGTCACCACGAGAAGCTCCTACAGCGACTATGCTCTTCTCCGCTGCGAGGAGGGCCTTCTCGAGGACGTCGACGGTGAGGGTGGTGGGACAGACTGCGAGAAAGTGGTCCCTGACTACGCGAAGGGAGTCAGGGAGGCGCGCGACTACGTAGTAGAGAGTGATGTACATGGGGGGGGGGTTCTTAGCGCAGAACTCAGCAGGAAGGGCGGCGCGGTAGCGAGTGTCACTAGTGCGGAGGTGCGTAATGAGGTCAGCGACAGTGGGAAAGGCAGAGAGGTCAGGAAAGAGGTAGGGAAGCATGAGACGGCTCAGTGCAGCAGTGGCAGGGGAGGAGTAGCGCGCAACTACAGCGTCGTACAAGGTTTGAGCACTCTTGTACTGACTAAAGTGCGCGCGCTCAGAGGTAGGGAGGTGGCGACGCACAGCAAGACGTGCAGCAGCATCGCGGGTGGCCCACTGAGAGCGGACAGTGGGATCAGCATCAGCAGCAGGAGCAGGAGAGGCGCCAGAGGTAAGGTCAAAGAGAGAGAGGCGGTCTGCCCTATTGCACTGTAAAAACAACTGCAGGTCGTCTACCCAGACCTCAAAGTCAATGGCGCGACCCTCAGCGTCAAAAGCTAGGACACTAGGGGTAGCCATGACGACGACAGCGAAGCAGTGCAAGCAGTAGGGGAAGAGCACGCAGTGACAGTGCGACTGTGCTCACCAGGCAGGGCAGGCCGTGCAACTCTGCAGAAGGGCGGCTCGGCGACTCAGCGACTCGGCTGCTGGGCGGCTCGGCTCCCGGGCGGCTCGGCGGCAGGGCGGCTCGGGAGCAGGGCGGCTCGGCGTGCAGGGCGGCTCGGCGACCGGGCGGCTCGGGTGCCGGGCGGCTCGGCTCTCGGGCGGCTCGGCGGAAGGGCGGCTCGGGTGCAGGGCGGCTCGGCTCCCGGGCGACTCGGCGGCGGGGCGGCTCGGATGCACTGCTGCTCGGCTGCTGCAGGTGGGCGGCACGGCTGCTGCAGGTAGGGTGGCGGGGCCGCGAGAGAGCCGGGGCGGGGCCACGAGAGAGCCGGGGCGGGGCCGCGTGAGAGCCGGGGCTGGGCCGCGTCAGAGCCGGCTGCTGGGCCGTGTGAGAGCCGGGGCGGGGCCGCGTGAGAGACGGGGCGGGGCCGCGGCAGAGCCGGCGGCGGGGCCGCTAGAGAGTCGGGGCGGGGCCGCGTGAGAGCCAGGGCGGGGCCTGGTGAGAGCCAGGGCGGGGCCGCGTGAGAGACGGGGCGGGGCCGCTAGAGAGCCGGGGCGGGGCCGCGTGAGAGCCGGGGCGGGGCCGCGTCAGGGCCGGCGGCGGGGCCGCGAGAGAGCCGGGGCGGGGCCGCGTGAGAGACCGGGCGGGGCCCCGTCAGAGCCGGCGGCGGGGCCGCGTCAGAGCCGGCGGCGGGGCCTCGTCGTGGCGGGCGGCGGGGCCGCGTTGGAGCCGGCGGCGAGGCTGGCTAAGAGCCGGCGGCGGGGCCGCGTCAGAGCCGGCGGCGGGCCGCGACGTAGCAGGCGGCGGGGCCGCGTCAAGCAGGCGGCGGGGCCGCGATCAGGAGGGGTGGCGGGGCCGCGTCTGAGGGACAGCGGGGCCGCGAGGGAAATGGCGACCCGAGGGGTCGCTAAAAAAAATGCGCGCCTCGGGGCGCGCTTCGGTGGGCCCTAGAAAAAACGGTCCTTAGGAAGGACCCGCTCTATACCATGTGAAATAAGTGAACAGGAATGAAATGACTAAGTCAGAGTTGGGTACAAATACAACCCTAGAAAGCTGTACCCCATATGTGCTACCCCACTATAGCCTACAAACATGCATCAGCTATAATAATCTGACAGGAATCAGCCACTGCCAATTCACGCGAAATTCAAATTCAATGCCCTCTACAATATCGATTCGATTCAAATCGCAAGGACGAGATGAACACTTTAGTGTAAAAAAAACTAGATTTCATGTATGTCATTATATAAGCCCCGGCGCTTATAAACATCCTCAAATATAAGCGCACCCCCAATAAAACAGGGTTTTTTTATACCCCCAGGGGCGCTTCGATCCGGGGGTTGACGGTAAACTTGATCTACACAAAGACGGATTTCACTAACCTGGCTGTGCTGCTTTGATGACAATGGGGGAGCCTCCACGCTTCAAACGTAGCGGCCACGAGGGTTCTTCAAACGCAAGGCTTCACGAATTCTTCGTAATCACCAAACCGAGCCGTGCGAATCGACCACCCAGGCTCCTCGCTCCTGCATGGAGCCATGGGCTTGCCAGGTCACGACTCACGAGGTATCACAGATCTGACAGATCTGAAGTGAAATGTGGGCCCAGCTGACTGGATTTCGTGCTGGATTAGGGCTGATGTGACACGGCTGGGCGAATGGAGCTCAATTGGAAAGTTTTTGTATGGTTCATTGCTGCTGATGCTCGGCTGAAAAGAACTTTGAGGTTTCAGTTGACAAGGCACGGTTTTCGAAACCGCACGCCAAATGCGCAGTTCCATCGCTTCTGGGGCAGGGTTATTGCCCGTTTTTCGTTTACAGCGCAGAGTTAGTGCGATTTCTACGCAGTTCGACGCTCATTGGTCTAAGTCTCTGCAAACGACAAGCCTACTGTGTAGGAGAAAACAGTTTAACCCAGTCAGGTGTTCAACATTTTTCAAGCCCATATAGAGAGTGCATCAATCCTAGACACTCATTCGCATAGTGTTTATGGTCGATGCCTCCCTCGATGGCAGCCATTAAAATTAAAAAAAATAAAAAATAAAAACAACCCGTCGCAAAGGGCATCAGCCCTAAACACTTTTGCCCAATGTTTAGGGTTGATGCTCCCTAAACACTTCCGCCTGGTGTTTAGGGTTGTGCTCCCTAAACAGCATGCCATCTGAGAGGGTAATATATTTTTGTCTGCCCATAAAACTGGTGCAAACGGTTCGATGACCGTCAACCCAAGCGGAGTTGTCGGTCCGTCAACATTTTGACCAATGAAAACTTTACTGCGCAGAAATCTCACTAACTCTGCGGTGTGATCGAAAACTGGGCAGTAACTGTGCGCCAGAAGCGACAGTGCTGCAATTTTGGCGTATAGTTTCAGTAACAATGCATGATCAACTAAGGACGTGGCGCAGATCGCACCGATCTCACGCAATCGGTGGTCGATTGGATCAGAACGCAATCGATTGGGTGTGATTGCCCCGATCTGACGCAATCATCGATCGCCTCCCGCGCCGCGCAATCTGACAGATGTTTTTCTTCGAAACAGGGCGGAATCTTAGAAACGCCTTCCAGACGAGCTGTACGTCCCTTCCTGCTCAAAGTTGGCGAAACGAAGCGACTGTCTGGTTCGTGCAATTACAAGGTAGCCCCATTACGTCGCAAATTGTGTTGTTTGGTCCAGAGGTTCAGTCTGGAAAGCTGGAATGTCGCGAGATGTTTTGTAGCAGCGAGCAACCACAAAGTAAGTTTTGGTGGTTACTGTTTGAGCACAATCGCCAACTTACCCAATCTATGGATTGCGATCGGTCGCAATCGATTGCATCGGATTAAGGCAATCGATCACGATCTCAATTGCAATCGACAAATTGTCCCCGATTGCCCAAAAGTACCCCTAGGACCATCACGGAAATTAGGGATTGCGTAGATCAAGGCAATCAGCCTCAGATCGCCCCGATCTGCACCACGTCCTTGTGAAGTTGAAAGAAAAGGAATGAAATAACTAAGGAAAGATTGGGTACAAATACAACCCTAGAAACCTGTACCCCATATGTGCTACCCCACTATAGCCTACAGCAACTATGTCATATAAATCTGACACACCCCCATAGGCACAGTGGGGGAGAACAAGGGGTGGATCACAAAGTCACCACACAGTCCGAGCACAAGGTCAGGGCCACAAGGCCAGTTCACATGCAAGACTAGACACATATATATATAAGGCTAAACAAGCAAGAGCAGGTATATATATATGCAAGAGTACAAGCAAAGTCAAGAGGTGAGCAAGTGAGGTAGGACAGGTACAAGTCCCAGCTGAGTGCAGAAGCGATGATGATCACAAGGCAGAAGTGCCTTGGTGAAAACATCAGCAGTGTTGGCCTCAGAGGCCACGTACGCAAGTCGCAACTGACCACGCTGCTGCAGCTCACGAGCAAGAAAGTAGCGGAGAGCAATGTGTTTCGTTCTGTGCTCCAAGCGCTGCTCCCGACACAAGGCCAACATGGCCTTGTTGTCCACGTACAGCACTGGAGGAGAACGAGGCGGCTCTCCAAGGTCAGTCAGCAGGTAGGTGAGCCAGCGAAGCTCCTGTGCAGCCATGGCCCCGGCGTAGATCTCAGCCTCACAACTGGAGCCGAGAACAGAAGACGAGCGAGTAGCCCGCCAAGAGACAGAGCCAGAACCAAGACTGAAGGTGTACCCTTGCGACGACCGCTGCGTAGCCTGGTCGTCAGCCAAAGAAGCGTCCCCGTGGCCAGTGAGGACCACTGGACTCCGCCCTCCAAGCACTAGCCCCATGCCCGACGTCCTGCACAAGTAGCGCAACACCCTCTTCGCCGCAGCCATGTGCTCTGGTTGGTGTCTCCCAGGAGCAACATAGCGTGCAAGAATGCTAAGAGGGTATGCAAGGTCAGGTCGAGTGCAGGTCATCAGGTACATGAGGCAGCCAACAAGCTCTGGGTACGGGCCACTCGGCTCTACGGACTCATCAGAAGGCAGAGCTGAGAGCGAGTGGCGAGTAGCCAGAGGAGTGGCCTGAGGCGAGGAGTATGTGAAGCCGAAGCGCTGAAGGACCTGCTGCACCATGTGTGACTGAGTCAAGGTAATGGTGCGGCGTGCTCTGTCTCGAGTGATCTGCAAGCCAAGGTAGCTGCGCAGTTCACCCAGGTCTGTGCACGTGTGTCTCTTCAGCAGCTCGGACTTCACGTAGGCGAGTCCAGCAGTGTCAGCAGTGGCAAAGACCATGTTGTCGACGTACACGAGGATGTAGAACGGCGGCAGAGAAGTGTCGGTGCGAAGAAACAACGACGGGTCAGCAGTAGAGGGAGCAAACCCAAGAGCCGCAAGCGTAGTCCTCAGTGTGTCGTGCCACTCACGCGGTGCCTGGCGGAGACCGTAGACTGGCCGTCGGAGGCTCCACTGGGTGCCAGGAGGGAAAGTCCCAGTGAAGCCAGGCGGACGGCGCAGCCAGATCTCCTCGTGCAGGCTGCCCTGCAAGAAAGCAGTGCTGAAGTCAAGAGAGTGAAGCTCATAGTCGCGCTGAGCGGCTATGTGCAGCAGCACCCGAAGAGTGGTCATCTTCGGGGTGGGAGAGAAGGTCTGAAAGTAGTCAACTCCCTGCCGCTGACTGAAGCCACGAGCAACGTACCGCGCCTTGAATACAGGTGGAGAGCCAGGCGGCCGCTTCACCCTGAAGATCCACATGCCACTGACGATGTTCGCCCCAGGAGGGGGAACCTCGTCAACGTAGGTGCCTGTGGACTTCCAGGAAGCCATCTCTGCATCCATAGCTGCCTGCCACTGAGAGGAGTAGGGACCCTCTACGGCCTCCGCGTAAGAACGCGGAGTCGGGATGTCTAGTGCATCCGGGTCTCCCTCAGGGGCAAGTAGTACAGACGCGAGATGAGGTGAAGCAGCAGCCAGACACT